GAGGTAAGAGTTGCGACAAAAAAACAATAACTACAATAAAAAAGACATACTATTATGAATCTCATTCAAATACCCAGTAAACGGTTTCTATCCCCTGATAGAATTGTTCAAAATTCAAATATCCTCATAAAGACTGCACCAAGAGTAAAGATCTATAGAAGCAGCCCATCGTCCATCATTACCTATTCCTCAAGGATCCAAATAATGGAATTATTCAAATCTGTAGTAGCTACTTCTGAAATACAACTATATATGTGTATGTCATACTTTTACCAGGATTGAAAATGCAAGGATGACCAAAAACTATACATGTGTATATCATACAAACTTTGTTATGGATCAAAAAACTGTCGTAGTGAACAAGGTATAATTTTACCTGCACTTACCAAACTTTGTTATTAATCATTGATTAATATTACATGATGAAAATTTTTATCCATTGTTTTTTAACAACTGTTCTATATTTGCCTTTTATTGACTTATGGGCTTTATTTCTCATTCACATTGATTTAAACTTCCATTTTGAAAAATCCATTCTGAACTCTTGTCATGTAATTAAATTTATTGCATTTTGGTTATTGTTTCCATGAACCAGCAATTAGATGTAGCCTGTTGGTCTTTTTTTTTTTTTTTTTTTTTTTTTTTTTTTTTTTTTTTTAAAATAAAAAATAAAAATAAAAATAAAAGTAAAATTTTCTTGACTAATACCTTCTAAGTTTTTCGCACCTCCTTTTGAATTTGAGCTTTGATTTCCCCCATCCCTTTCATCTAATTTAACGAGCCACCCTTTAGGCTTTATCTGGAACAGATGTACTTAGTTTTAACTGAAAGGCACTTTCAATGGACTTATGAGCATACATCGGTTTTGTTTACTTATGTGGAATCATTCGACTTGTATCTTGCATTGGTGATGTGCTTAAATCTTTTGCTTCAATTGCTACAACAATATATTCATCTATTTCAGGTAAGGTGTTTGTAGAATAATTTCCAAATTGAAAACAACTTTTTGTAACTGTTTAAACAATGTAGTAGATTCGTAGAGATATAATAGTTGTTTGCGTCTCGACAAATTGCCCAAGGTTGTGCTTTTTGAAAGGTTGGTGCGACCCCATTGAGCAAATAGCAAGCTTGATTTCCTCTCCAGTTTTTGGTTGGAACAGGTCTGGATTCATTTCTGGTATGACTTTGGGGGAAACCAATGATCAGAAATGAAAATCATGGGATATACCTTCTGTGGAGGTCCCAATGAAATCCAAAGACTCGTATAAAAAACACTTTATTGTTTCATAGTTGCGGTTTTCTGTAAATTAAAAATTCAGTTATTTTCTCAATCCAATATTTGATAAAAATGCACTCCACACCGAATAAACTTTAGGGATAGTTTCGTCACTGGGCTTAAGACAACAAATATAGTGCAATTGTCAATAGTGGAGTGTGAATATCATCTTTATTTTTTACAAACCTTTTAAAGAATTGGGTCGGGGTTAAAACTTTAATGCTTTATAATCTGATCAGTACTTCAAGGAAAAAAAAGGGGGATTCATTCACTAGACAGAATTTTGTTGCCTGGTTGTTTGCTAAATGCTCGTGACAAAATGTTTTACACTATAAAAATATGTTTGTTGGTAGAAGTCTAGTAAAAAATGTGATAAATATTTTTACATTCCAATGACCTTCTAAAAATTGTTTGTTTCATAAGTTAGGCCTCTTAACTGTCTTTGTTACTCCCCCTTATGTATATTCATCACTAGAGTTTTTCTATTTTGATTTTTTCTTTTTCTCTCTTTTGCATGCATCTCTCTAAAGTTCTGCTTTTCTTTTTCTTTTTAAATTGCATTTTCTTAACCCATATATATATGTGCAAGTACTCTTAGAACCTCCTAGGATCTTTACCCTCAAAAATATTTTTGTGCGTGCATTCATGTATTAATAGTTGATTTTTGTCATTAACACGGTATAAGTATCTAAAAATTACAATCATGCATAAATATGGACATGTAAGGTGCCTATCACATTTTCATTTATTATTAAATCTATGATTCCATTAATCTAGTTTGTGAGACCACATGGATGTCATTACAAAGGACGATCACATTTAACTCATCATCACACACTTAAATTGACCTAGTACACCAAAACTCATTGTTAGATGACTACTTAATGTCTTTTAGGCCCTATTACAAGTTTTCGCATAAAAAGTCTTATTTACCCAATGGCATCTTCATCCACATCATTCATACGAACATTCCCCTAGGATGTTGTAGAAAAAATTAGGGCATGACAATATAAGAAACTAAAAAGACATAAAAATAAAATTAAAGGGTCAAACTTAGTTTAATGGGCTTGTTGATCTTCTTGAACAAGATTTGAATTTGCAAAACAAAGAAAACAACTACTACACCCATGCATAATATGTGTTACGAATTATCATAATCCCTCCATTCTCTAGTTTGTGTCCACATTTTCTTAAATTAACACTGTATTTTTTTTTTTGAGTTAGCGGAGGACTAGTTTTGGAACTTTTTATCCATCTATATCATATAATAATTCTAAATAAGTTCCTTTTTAACTTATCATCTGTTCAATTTGGATTAGTTCGTTAAATAGATGTTCCGTTGAAAAAGTAGTGCAAAGAACCTTCGTGAGCTACATACATACAAAATGTTTATTTCTGTTCTTCTGAACTTCACTTACATTGTTTTGGATCTTATGTTTTGTTCTTGACTTAATTTTTGGCTTTTGCAGACCCAGTTTCGTTGTAGTCCTGCCCAACCGACGCTATCTAGAGCAGAGTTACCAACCTAGAAAGTCATACAATAGTAACTAGTTTTAGCTACTTTATTTAGTTGATTTGAATGATTTATCATTTCAGAATAAATATTAAGAATCAAAATCATATTAACCATTGTCCAAAATTATGTTAGTCCAAAATTATGTTTCTCACAGAATTTTACTCTTTGCTATATTCCGGTTGTATTTTTGGCATTTATGGGGCAGATGTTATTGGCTGCTTTTAGTAGTCATATACAAAAAGTGAGATTGGTGATGATGGATCTTAAAAACTTCATGGTGCATGTTTTATTTAAACTTTATATGTGTATATCATACTTTTACTATGATTCAAAAGACCACTGCACTGGTATAAGTAAGAAATTAACACAAACAACAAATAACAAATTGCAAATACTTCTCCTCCACAACACAAATCAATCAACAAGAAGCCTCCACATACAATGATCCCATACTCCCATGCTTTTCAACAAATACAAGAAAGTAAATTGCTTTCACACGGGCCGATGATAAACAATGAAATTAAAATGCCTCCATACGGGCCAATGATTTAAAAATTGGTCACTTCAAGGCATGTGACCCCCTAATACACCGCAAAGAGTTTAAAAATTGGTCACTTCAAGGCCCGTGACCCCTTTTTTGCAAAATGGAAGCATGAAAACTTACAATCATCTCCAAAGCAGCAGCATCAGTAGCTTTGCCATCCTTATTTATATGTGTGCGAATGAATAAATCTGCACGAGAAAGCTAAATACCTTCGTCTTCCTCAATCTATAAAAGAAACATAGATATTGTGATATATATTATTATTTACCTCTAACATTTATAATCATTCAACGACATAAGAACTGAAATAATTTATATTGCTAAAACTTCAACTGACCTCTGCAGAAACACATGCAAAGCTTTTTGTCCCTGTAGCATGCTTCATTGTCTTCTTCCCACGACGTTCTTTGTTTTTTTTACTGACCTCCTACAAAAAGTGAGAAAAAGTAAACGTTCTAACATTCCACCTAAAATAATGACTGAAAGCAAGTAAACTATAAATTCAACTCATTGACTTTAAACAAAATTAGTAGATGGAGGATTACCTTCGCCATAGGCGTACCCCAATATCTAACCAAAAATTCCCAATGCTCATTTTCAACATCAAGTGGTGGGTTTGCCAATATTTCTGCATCTATATCCCTAACTGAGTAATATTCACTTTTTAATTCACACTTGTACCCCCTCTATTTTTTTTCGATGGAGGATATTGTCCAATGTTTTGACATGATTCCCACATCATACTTTCCCTGAAAATGTGATAATTGCTGCATGTTAATCCATTTTTTCCATAAAAATTATTTTAATATCATTGAAGGGTTTTACCTTTACAACGTTCCACATATCCTCCTTCAGCCGTTGAGGCATCTCCCACCAAGTTTTGGAGCACAAAGGAGCTAAATTAGCATTCTGGGCAAGTGTTCCCAAATAATTAGTATATGTACCACTTCCAGGGCCGATCGGTTGTCCAAACTTATTAACCCTAAACAAAAATTAACAATTGTAGATGTTTAGTACAAAAATAAAAATAGAAATCATTTTTTCTCTTTCATATTGAATATAGTCTAATTATGTAAACTATATAAGATGATCTCTATATATATGTACCTTAATAGTAATAAGGTTGTCGCGGTTACGACATTTTTGCATCGTGTCGGGCCCCGTCTCTTCTTCGGCGGTGGTTGGGATGATTTTGAAGTTGAAGCTTCGGTATTTTGTTCACTTATTTTTTCCACTTCTCTAACCTTTCGTTTCATTGTCAGCTTATTATTTATCCTTCCTGGAAAAGAAAACAAAAAAGTGAGTATTCATTTAAGAGAATGCAATCAAATTGTTTAAAAAATGCAGTGCACAATCCAGGAAAAATCAATAAAAAGAAATAAAAAATACCTCAAAACTTTAGGGTATTTTTGGTTGTCCAATGAAAATTATATAAAACCATTCTGTTTTGGTAAAATCATTGATTGCACTTATACAAGCAAATCATCATCTTCTTCTATAGTTGTTCCAAGCAAATCAGCTCTTGTCCAAAACATGCTATCATCAGGTACATCCAAGTCATTATCCACATGTTGTGCATGAAATGGCTCATGAACTTGATAAGATTCAATATCATTCTCTGGCATATCATAAAGGTCTCGCAATTTTGCGCCAATAACCACTTTTCACTCATTGTCAATGGGATCATCAACATAGAATACTTGTTCAGCTTGAGATGCTAGAATGAAAGGCTCATCTATTCCCAACGATCGTAACGAATTAACAAGCTTAAATCGAAAATCATCCTCCTTTATTCCTTTACCCTTGGACAAGACATCAAACCAATCACACTTAAAAAGTACCACCTTTCTATTTACATTGTAATTTAACTCAATGATATCAGTCAGCACACCATAGTACTGAATATTTCCTGTGACGGGATTTTGATTGGTGGCTCTTGTATAACTAGATGTCACTGCCTTTATGACAACTCCACTGTTCTGAGTCTTTCTCCGTCTCTCAACATCTCTAACATGAAACTTCAAACCATTGATCATAAATTTCTTAAACCATTTCGTGACAGGGTTTGGACCTGGTGCTAGCCACCTCAGCTCATTAGGAATTGGATCCTCACTATCTCGCAACTGTATTCATAAAGATATAACTTATATAATAAGGTAATTTTTCATAAACCTATAATACACCAACAACACAAAAGTCAAATACTTACACGTTCATTAAACCATTTGTGAAATAAATTATGAGAAATCTTCTGTAATTGTCGTGGTTTTAAATAGCGCTGCCTCATTTTAAGAAATCTCTTATGTTTTCTGCATTGTGAAAATATAATGTTAAACATATTGCCTATTAAACTAAATGAAGTTTGACACGAATATAATCATATAATATATTGGGGAACTTAGTCTTACTCAATGAATGGTTCTGCTCCATGATAATTGAATAAAACATACCGATGAGCTTACACCAAAGTCATCTCATCTAGATTAATGAACTCTTGTTTTCCTAAGGCACGGCCTTGTGCACCAAAATCATTCATTTCCTCTCCATTAAGCACATTATCGGAATTCCTTTGGGGCCTATCGAATCTCGTCTCAATATTTGTCAGATAACATGAACAAAAAGTTAAGCATTCTTCCGCTAAATAACCTTCTGCTATTGAACACTCGAGATGACCTCTATTTCGCACGTAATTTTTCAAAGCCATAAGGTACCTAAATATAAAGAATGAAATTTAATAATATCAGAATTATTAAAAAATAAACAAACTATAAATGAAAATTCATTAAAAATCTTGACCTCTCAATTGGATACATCCAACGGTATTGCATTAGTCCTGCAATCCTTGCCTCGTAAGCTAAGTGAATAGATAAATGTATCATTATGGTAAAGAAGGCTGGTGGGAATATCATTTCCAACTGACATAGTATTAAAACAATCCGGTGTTTCAATTTATCCAAGTCTTCAGGCCTAAGAGTCTTTGAACACAGCTTTCGATAAAAGTTACTGAGCTCGACAAGTACTGAGCAAACATTCTTAGGCAATATCCTACGAATGGCTATGGCTAGAAGTTGTTGCATCAATATATGACAATTATGACTCGTCAACCCACTAATTGTACACTATTTCAATTTGACACAACGTGAAATGTTAGATGCATACCCATCTGGAACTTTAACATTGTTCAACACTCGACATAATATGCTCTTTTCAAGTGAAGATAGCGTGAAATTTGCAGGAGGCAAATAAAATTTGTTTGAACCACGCTCTTGTGGGTGAAGTGAAGGCCTTACTCCCATATCCTGTAGGTCAAGTCTTGCTTTTAATCCATCATTCCCTTTCTGATCATTCATCAATGTGTGAAGTATATTGTCACATATATTTTTTTTCAATATGCATCACATCTAGATTATGACGCAGAAGATTATACTTCCAATATGGTAATTGAAAGAATTTACTCTTCTTTCTCCAATTGTGCGGCGGACGCGTCCGATCTTCACGCTTCCGATCTTCATTCATTGTATGCACACTCTTTCCAAATGGTGGAAATTTAAGGCCCTTTAATTCATGTAATAATTGTGGTCCAGATAACATAGGCGGTGCACACCTTACCTCTTCAATGCCGTCAAATGCTGATTTACAACGCCTATATTTATGATCTTTTTCAAGAAAACAATGATGCCCATCATAACATATTTTCTTGCTATGATCTAAGAAATGAGAGCAAGTGTCTTTGTTACAAGTAGGACAAGCCAAATACCCTTTTGTACTCCAACCGGATACCATTGCATAACCAGGAAAGTCAAAAAGAGTCCAGAATAATGCTGCATGCATACGGAACATCTCATTTCTTGAAGCATCATAAGTTTCCACCCTATCAATCCATAACTCTTTTAATTCCTCTATCAAAGGCTGCAAATAGACATCAATATCATTTCCAGGTCCCTTAGGGTCAGGTATCAAGGTTGATAGAATAAAATAAGGCTGTTTCATGCACATCCATGAGGGTAAGTTATACACGAGTATCAAAACAGGCCATGTACTGTGTGCAACATTCATGGTCTTGAATGAGTTGAACCCATCAGTTGCTAATACAAGCCTGACATTCCGAGGATCACCAGAAAATGTTGGGTATCTTTTATCAAAGCTATCCTATGTTGGGGAGTCAGCGGGATGTCTCATCAATCCATCCTTGATTCGCTCTTCGGCATGCCATCTTATAGAAGAAGCTATCTTACTTGACATGAACAATCTTTGGAGTCTTGGCTTCAAAGGAAAATATCGTATAACTTTAGCAGGAATTTTTTTATTTGTTGATGAGGATGATGTACTTGCATTGCCCTCAGTTTCTGAATCAAAAACTTTCCACCTTGACTTGCCACAATTATGACACATTTCATCATTAGAGTGTTCCTTCCAATACAACATACAATCAGAGGGACATGTATGAATCTTATCATATTTAAGACCCAGGTCACCAATCATCTTCTTTGTTTCATTGAAGGTTTTTGGTAATGTCTCGCCATTTGGTAATCCATCTTTTATCACTTTTAACAGATCAGTGAATGATTTGTCACTCCAATTATATTTAGTCTTCACTAAATATAGCTTCACTACATAGGATAACTTTGAAAACTTTTTACACCCAGGATATCACTCTTGGTTTGTATCTTCCAATAGCCTATAAAATTTATCTAACTCTTCATTTGACACCCTTTGGTGCTGATCATTTTCTCCGTTGGTCTCTTCCCTCCGTTCAGTTGGAACACCAAAACCCTCGTGTAAGAGTCCATGTATATCATCATTTTTGTTTGCATTGATATCCTAGTGTGTTGTGTGTACATCAGTTTGCCGAGAAAATGACGACACTTCTTCCCCGTGATAAAACCAAGTTGTGTATGACTGAATAAACTTATTGCATACCAAATCATCTCTCACCTCAGAATGTGTTTTTTTTTATACAATTGCCACAATCAATACAAGGACAATATATACGCCCATCCTTCCCAACTCGCTCAAATGAGATATCTAGAAACTCTTCAACTCCACGCAAGTATGCTGAACTTAACCTATTTGCATAGTAATGCATATAAAAAATCAAATTTCTTAAATTGTTGTTATTAGATTAAGTAACCTAATCAAACTACAATCTGAAGTACCTTGACTCAGTTATCCAACTTCTATCCATGATATTACATCAAGTAACCTAAATAAAATATATGGACAAGAAATATATTATTAGTAAACATGATAACAATTTAGTTAAGGTATTTGAAAAGAATAAAAAAGTAACATGTACAAAAAAAATCATGACTACTCCATTAAAACAAATTCCTCAACAAAATGTAGCCATGTGAAGGTGAGGTGTCGGAATCCATGGGGTAAAATAATGAACCTAATGCGAGGGTGGGAAAATTACTACGTGTCAAGGTGTTTTCGACACATTTAATAATCCATTGCTCTCTCTCTCTCTAGACAACATTTCCTGAAGTTGGTTGAGCTCCTCAACCAAACACCCATTCCACGTCACATTTGAAATTAAACATACAGTTAGCCAAAAACTTAAAAAAAAAAAAATTAAAACAACAATCTTAGGAAATTCTTAGGATTTTTTTTTTTTTTTTTTTTTTTTTTTTTTTTTTTTTTCAAAAAGGATGTCTTTTTTAATAAACTTTTAACTCTTAAAGAAGAACGTTTCTTTTAGGAAATTCTTACTACATACTTCTTCTGTCCCAAAAAAAGATTACTCTTTTAGAAAACTGTACAGAAAAAGTATATAGTAAGAGAATTTTTAAGCCCCATATTTTTGTATCCTTAATTGTCTTAGAGGATCCAATTTCGATTCCTAACTAATCATATTGAGATTTGTTTGAATTTTAATTGATATTTATATATAGTATAATTTTAACCACCAAATATTAAAAAATACTAATAATAATAATATTATTAATTTTAATTAATGACAAACTGTATATTATTTATATACAGTTTTCTCAATGTTGGAACACAAAAAAAAAAAAAAAGAAAGAAATTACCTGAAAAATGAAATCAGACTAAACAACGACAAAACTTGTTCCAACAATCCAAGCTACGATCGATTATTTCCTCCTGTACAAAGAAAAAAAAAATTGAAAACAACAATCTTAGGTACAGAATGAGATCAAATAGTGGTTGCAGAATCATTGAAATTGGGAGGATGCGTTGTCGCGTGAACTAAATTCCAATCTCAAATCAAACCCACTTGATCTTGTTTACTGCTTTGGCTGTTTCCGTATTCCCGGCTTGATGACGACACTTCTTCCCCTACGCACTCGAAGCCGAATTGCTTCAAAATCTACTTAGATGATGTCTAGAATAGGAATGGTTGGGTTGGGAATAGGAAGACAGAGAGAGTGATGGTTCAAGCTTTCACTTGAAGAAGTTCAAATCGTTGACCGATGGAAGGGCGAGACCGTGATGAGAGAGCTGTGATGGAAGGCGAGAGAATGGCTGAAGGATTAGGGCTATTGCAAAATGAAATGGGAAAATGGAGAATACAATGTTAATTCCCCACAAAACGACGTAGTTTTAGGGCCCAAATATTTTATATATAAATCAACGGAGGGAAAAAATAGAGGGAAGTGGAAAAATGGGGACACCTATACCAGCGCTCCTACAAAAAGCGCCGGTACTATTACACCTATACCAGCGCTTTTAAAAAAAGCGATGGTACGATTACACCTATACCAGCGCTCCTACAAAGAGCGCTGGTACGATTACACCTATACCAGTGCTTCTAGGAAAAGCGCTGGTACCATTACACCTATACCAGCGCTTTTAAAAAAAGCGTTGGTAATATTAGACCTATACCAGCGCTTTTTCTAGAAGCGATGGTAAAAACCTAATATGTTGTAGTGAAATCATAGAAATAGACCAAGATTCATTAAATTCACAAGACTAGAACACTAATCACAACAATATATATATAAATCCCCAAAAATAAAAACACAAGGGTTTAGATTACATAAGACTAGAGCTCATCCAAGCCCTAAGTGTAGATCTAGCCAATCATGGATGAGGTGGATGTGGTCATGAAACCCTCAAAGGTAAGCTCCAAACATGGCTCCATCTTCTTTTTCTTCTTCTTTGAAGCTCCAGAGAGAGAAAGAGAGAGTGGATCTAGAGATGGATCTTGAGATGTGCCTCCACTTTCCTCTTTTCTTCTAACCCTAATCTCTAACTTTCTAGAGAGATAAAGTAAAATTACAATATAGCAATAAAATGATAAAAAGCTTCTTTACAAAATGGGTTACTTCCCTTCATATAGAAGGTCATTTTCTTAGTCACTAAGTTAGGAATATAGCTCCAAAAATATCTAATCCCGTACTATGTGGTAGGTGGATGTTTTGGGCGCGCGCGAGAATAAGACAGCTTACTACCAGCAAAAGTTCGATCGATCAAACTTTTTCTTCCATTGATCAAAGAAAAGTTCAATCGATCCAACTTTTATTTTCGATCAATCCAACTTCGATCGATCTCAGAAAAAATGATCGATCTCAGAAAAAGTTGGATCGATCCAACTTGGCAATTTTTTAGCATTAGCCTCATTTTGCTCCAAATCAGCTTCCTTTTGCTCCGGATCCTCACTAAGACTTAGTTTGACTCCAAAAAGGCCTTAAGAAACCATTTTTAGCCCATTTTAACATTATTGACCTGAAATAGACAAAAAACACAAATAAGTACTAAAACGGGAAAATAAGATAGATAAATGTCCTAGAACACTCAAGCTTAAGGGGTTTAAAAGCGCACTTTTCAGCGCTCATCACAAATTATAATTATGGATTGTAATGCATTATAGATGTCCATTGCAAAAGTGATGCCTCTATATAAAGAGTGAATTTGATTGGCAAGATTGAGTGATAGTGTAAATGGCTTGTAGTAGCATGAGTGTGATAGACTGAAAATCCTAAAAGTTTTTAACAAGTATTTGCATAAGGTTATTTTTGTTTGAAGGGTAAAGTACAGCCACAACCCCTGAGGTTTAGCAAAAGGACACTCAGAGAAAACTTACCTATTTTTTGGACAAAGACACCCCTTGAAGGTTCAAAAATGGACAAAAACACCCCTTTACATGAGAAATTAACCAAATTACCCTTTGACTGTTTAGGGGACTTTTTTAACTTTACACTTTAATAAATTGGACCAATCTACCCTCATGAACAATTTATGCGCCAACCACCTATCTCACCTCACCAAACCACCTTCTTCCCCACTCTCTCCGCGTACACTGCCCCGCTGCAGTGCCGCCACCACCACCACCATCTTCCTATCTCTCTCTCGATTTATATATATATATACCCTCTCTTCACACACACACACACACACATATATATAGATTACGTTCACTCTACCGCCACCACCACCCGATTGCCCTTACGTTTTCCTTGGAATAGCTCAGTGCTTGGAGGGCAATATAGGCTTTTTCCTTTGAGAAGCCACTTCCCGATTCGAGGACTCGAACAAGATGATTCAGAAGCAACAGTCCTACAATCAAGACTTGTTTGTTTGAATCCACAACCGAAACCCTAACAACGACCGTGACGGTCTTCTCTTTAACCTCCAGCATCAAGCTCAAATCCAGTAGTCGCATGAGCACCAGAACGGACCCCTGTGACACTGCAATCAACACATTCTTTTCATCCTCTTGAAGCAACCCGAGCAATGAGTCCAATGCCGAGTTCTTCAAGTCAGCGCTCCGCAACTGAGTTATCAAGCTCCGAGACTCAACTCGTATGGACTCTCAACGTCGACGACGACCTCAGAACGGCATCATCATGGAGTACCCCGCTCTTGATTAAAAGGTCGGAGTCCCTAATGTGTCGGCTTCGCCTAGACCGAATCAACGCCGTTTTGCTTCTTAAGCTTGCCGTCGGGGAGGATCAGATTTCTTCAGGCTTTAGAGAGGGAAAGTGCACCGGAGAGAGTATTAGAAACAGAATGGAACAGTTCTAAAATTTAAGATGAGTTTCTCTCTCCTTTTTGTTTCCATCTTTCTATTTTTATGTTTCTCTCTCCTCTGTTTCTACATCCTTCGTCGCTTCCCATATCCAACGCACCAAATCTTGAGGAAACCCTAACGTTTCCCCTTTTGTTCAGATTTGGTGATGTGCTATAATTTCAAAATTGATAGATAGAGAGAGAGAGTTGGGAGGTGAATCGGTAAGGTAGTTTTTCCCTCCATACACGAATTTCCCCCAATAGATTTCAGATATATACCTTATATATATATGTGGGATTATATATTATATATGTATGTATGTATTGTGTATGTATTAGCGTTCAAGAACGTAATGCAGAGTGGTGGTTGTGGATTTGTGTATAAGGGTAGATTGGTCTAATTTATTAAAGTGTAAAGTTAAAAAAAGGTCTCTTAAACGGTCAAAGGATAATTTGGTCAATTTCTCATGTAAAGGGTGTCTTTGTCCATTTTTGAACCTTTAAGGGGTGTCTTTGTCTAAAAAACTGGTAAATTTCCTCAGAGTGTCCTTTTGCTAAACCTCAAGGGGTGTGGTTATACTTTACCCTTGTTTGAATGTTAATTCTATTATTCATTTTAAAATTTTCTTATAACACTTTATACTCTTATGGAGATATGAAAGTTTTTCCATACGGATAAGGGTTTGAGCCAACTCCAACGCTGTGTGGAGGAAAGCACAGTTCAAAAATAATTATTCAATTGTTCGATTGCAATCGTTGTTTTTCACTAGTTATTTTTAAATTGCTACATGCTTGCTCTTGTTATTATTTTTTTAAAAGACTAAATCACTGTAATAGCCCTAGTTTTAAAGGATGGGTTAAAAAAATATGCAGAAATTAGTTTGTTTGCAAACAATATTTTTTTTGAGAAAAAATGTTAAAAAAAAAAAAAAAAACTTAAATATATATATATAAATATATGTATAAATAGTTTACTTTTTTCTACACAACTACAATATTGTATTAGTTGATTTTGTAATGCATATTGTATTGTTTTAATTTATTTTAATTCTTAATTGATATTATATTGTTTATTTTTTTATAATATAGCCATTAGCTGTTGGAATAAAGTTAATTTTTTTATTTATTAAAAATTTAAAAAATATTAAAATATTAATATTTTTAGAGTGTTAAAACTCACTACTGGAGTACATGCGATAGCTAAAATTTGGAGAGTTCAAGACGCTGGCTCTTGAATATGACAATGTGGCTTTTGCAAAGTATTAACTTGACAAATTTAGATTGCTAAATTTTGAGGATACCATTAGAGTTGCTCTTATAGCAGCAAATTTCATTTTCTTATATATGGAGTTAGCAATTTGAATTTTGGATATGTTAAATATGTATGTTTTTAGAAATTGACAGTGGGCATGTTTGTACTCCACATTCAAACCAATAACTCCTATTAAATCTTAATTAACAATATATATATTTTTAAAATGGCTTTGAAAGCTTTTTATATTAATATATCTATATCTTATTTATAACTTTTCTAAATTATTAATAGCAAAAGAACACGTACAAATACACGAAGACTTTAATAAAGTTTGTAAGGCTGTTTATACATGAGAGAATGCAGATTGCCACCCATTCAAAATAGTTCCCTGAAATGGAGGATTGTTAAGAATTCTACATCAACTACAAACGATATTATTTTTCATGAAATATATCTGTAACTGTAAGTCCATATTTGTAGTCTTTGACATATTTTCCATTTTTTCAAGAGCTAGCTTCTTCGCTCACATGGACAAAACAGTCTCTTAGAATTTCAAATTGTAGGAGATCGTTAATTTTGTTTATAAAATAATGAATAGTTTCGAGTCTCTTACAATTCCGAACAATATAAGATGATTAATTTTGTATGTAAAATGATGAGTAATTTTGAGTCCCCTAAAATTCCAAACGGTAGTAAACTTTGTATAAAAAACTTTTCGCTCAAGCGCAAACTTTTTATTATAATATATAATATATAACTTTGTATTGAAAACTTTTGCTCATGATTAAACTTTAATCCACAGTGTAATATGTGTAAGAAATGAAACAAATATAATAAATACTATAATTAATAAATATTAATTTTGCAAATTAAAAAAGAATGTGGATGGATCTTGAATGAGAGAAATTATAAATAAGATTAAATAATAAGATTTAAACAAGAGTTGAACAGACTTACAGAAAACTTTCTTTATTAAACTTCCAAGCTAATACAGAGAAATATTACAAAAGAGAGAAAAGAAAATTGAAAGATACATTGAAGGGAAACTTTGCCCTCTATTTATACATAAAATGGACTTGAAATTATCATTTTGAAGTCCGCATAGTGCATGGGAGCGTGTGCTGAAATAATGCAGTCGGTCGGCCCACCACTAAGTTCTGTCTCCTTATCGGATGGAAAGTGAATATCTGATGAAGGAAATACTGTAGAACCAATGACTTTTGGGAAGCCTTGGCTGCTTCTGTCGGTAGGATAAGAGGAATCTTTACTTTTTTGGTGGATTCATCTTGTCCATCAAGTGGCTGGTGAGAGAGTCCCAATAGTCTGCTACTGTAGGCTCATCTTCAGAAATAAGATCTTCATTGGGATCTTGTGCATAACCGGCTAGACAGGAAAACTGATTACCGTCTTGACTGGTTTGGCTAGAGACTGACACCATGGATGCATCATCTCGTACTGTAGGAGTGGAGGAATCAAAGGATTTAACAAATTTGGTCCTCATAAAATCCATGCATTTAACCATTAAATCAGCTTCGGTAATTAATGGTTGTTGTTTTCTGATCATATCTTTAACAAGGTCAAATGGGTTAAAGATTTCGGGTTCTGGAATAGTTAACTTTGGAATTTTATCCATGTATTCCAGTGTTTTCTTTCTGATCTGATGGAGGAGGGCTTGGATAGGTTCGTTAGTCATGCCTGACCACCATCGGTAATAAAAAATCCTCTGGAGGACTGGTAACTTATCAGTGGTATAACCACATTGGAAATCCCATTTCCAAATCCAAGGGATTCCAAATTCAGTAAAGAACAATATGGTAGATTTCCCTACAGGAATATTATCCTGCCCTCGTAATTGAGGATGAAATTGTTGCCATGGTAAGTATAATTGGCTGATAGATTCGGGCAACATATCCAGATCAGGGCCAAATATAGCCCACCAGGGTATAACCCAGTTGGGGAAATCAGCCTTAACTGATTGAGGGCATATCTTGAAGAACCAAGAATGCTTATGCTTCGGATTTTGATAAAAGAACGAATATGTCCAAGCTGAGATATAATCCCAATAATTATAACTATGACCATAGGATATTTTCCTTGGCAAATTGGGATTTAATCCCCAGTCACTAGGCCGTATAAGCCTCTTAAAGATAGCTTTACTATAAGTAAGAGGACTATCTTTGGAATTCGGAAATTGCTTCGTGTGGTTGATCTCCACAGAGGAAGTTTCAGTAAGAATGGCTTCATAGATATATCTATGTCGACCATCCGGTGCAGCATATTGTTGAGTTTGGAAATATCTGGATTTTACTTCCCAAGGATCTGGCATCCATTGCTCATCTTGAGAATCCAGTATCAGTACTGTTTGAATATACCTTTGATTAGGTATCTATGGAGTTTCTTGTTCAAGAACCTCTTTCATGGTTGGTTTCTGTTGTTTTGGCTGGGAACTGCTACTGCCTTTAGAAGGTGTGTTGAGCAGATCAGCAACATGTTCCAAATATGGAAATTGATCATCAGTGAGTGGTATAACCACCTTGGCCTTAGCCTTGTTTTTGCCACGAGCCTTTGGAGTATTACCCCGGCCCTGCCCATGGGGGGGCGGATTCATGAACCCTGCAAAAATTCACGAGTTAGAAAATCAGGTAAAGAATTAGAACTGCATTTAATATATTCAATAGAAAAATCAAAAGCAGATAAATCAGCTTGCCAACCAGCAAATATCTGTTTGGACACTAAATTCTTTACATCTTTTTCCAGTACTTGTTTAGCAGCACTACAATTAATGCGTAACAAGAATTTCTGATTGATTAAATCATCTTGGAATTTATAAATGCATTTAACCAAAGAAAGTATTTCCTTTTTGATGGTTGAATAATTTAATTGTGCATTTTTCCAAGTTCCTGAAGTGAAGCGAACAAGCTCCTCTGTTCCTGTGTTTGGATTTTTCTGTTTAAGAATACCACCGTATCCAATATTGGAGGCATCTGTTTCCACAATTTTGAACCATGAAGAATTGGCTAGAGCTAAGCAAGGAATTTGTTTGGCTCTGAGTTTAATCTTCCGGACTGCC